GGACCTACTAAGTCGATTCCCCATTGGGCAAAGGGGATCGAGCAGTTGATCGTCGTCATGGTTTCAGCTGGGATATGAGTAATTGGGCCATGACACTGGCATCTCTCGCATCCTCGTACTAACTGCTCGGCCATCTTTCTGATTTTTGGCCAATAATAGCCAGCTCACAAAGCTTTTCCGGCTAGGGCTCGAGACCCTGCATGTGCCTGCAACATCCTTTGTGAATTTCTTTCAGGACGTAACTTCCTTCGTCTTCATGTTTTTTCCTCCAGTCATATTTCACATCAATCTCCATCATCTCTCCCAAAACACTTCCTTCTAAATGAATAGTGGTAATGCGATTTCCCATCTTTCCTTCATGTGAACTCGCGATTCTTGCGAGCCAATCGGCTCGCTTGTTTTTCTCTCTCGGGACTTGTGTTAGCTCGTATTTCTCTAAGCCCTGCACAAGGCTTTGGATTTCCTCGACATATTTCAGCATTCGATCCTCCTTAATCTCGAAATTTCCCACTACTTGTCCGACGACAAGTTGTGAGTCGGAGTGTGCCGTGATCTTTGTTGCTCCACCACCGATCACAAGCTGAATCCCTTTAATTAGCGCCTTATACTCTGCTTCATTGTTCGAGGCTTTGAACACCATTCTGATGGCAAAGTCGAGTTGCTCGCCTTCGGGAGATACTAAGACAACTCCCAAACCAGGACCCCTGGCCGCCGAGGATCCATCGACATGCATCATCCATTTCTTTTCTTCTCCTTTAGTTCCTTCTTGGATGAAGTCTGCTAAAGCTTGGGCTTTCATGGCTCGTCTCGGCTCGTATTTGATGGAATATTCGCGCAGCTTGACCGCCCACTTTACGAGTCGACCTGAAATAGTAGGTCGACCCAGGGTTTCTCCGAGTTAGAAGTTTGTCCTTACCACTATCACATGATTCAAGAAATATGGCCTCAACTTTCTAGCTGTTATTACCAATGTCAAGGCGGCTTTCTCGACTTCGTAATATCTTATCTCCGCACCCTGAAGTACTCGACTTTTGTAATAGATCGGCTGCTGGGCACCTCCAGCTTTTCGCAGTAATACCGAACTCAAAGAAAATAATCCCACCGAGATGTAGAGCACTTACTCGTCACCAGGTTCTGGTTTTGTTAATAGCGGCAGCTCGCTTAAAAATTCTTTCAGTTTTTCGAACGCCATTTGAACCTCGTCATTCCATTGGAAAGTTTTCTTCTTGAGCAACTTGAAGAATGGGAAACTTCTTTTTGCTGCTCGAGCGATGAACCTGCTTAGACTGACAATTCGACCCTTCAGGACTTGCACGTCCCTAATATTCCTCGGTGGGGCCATGTCGAGTATGGCCTTCACTTGTCCTTGTTCAACTCAATGCCTCTTTCAGTCCCGACATAGCCAAGGAATCGCCCTGCCTTCACTCCAAAGGCACACTTACTTGGGTTCAGCTTCATCCCAAATGTCCTTAGTGTCTTGAATGTCTCCCTTAGATCCTCGACATGCGAGATCGAGGACCTACTTTTCACCAGGATATCGTCCAGATACATCTCCATATTACGCCCGATTTGTGACTTAAACATTCGATCCATCAGTCTTTGGTACGTCGCCCCCACATTTTTTAGCCCAAAAGGCATGACGACATAACAATATGCCCCTTTGCTTGTCACGAAGCTAACTTTGCTTTGATCCTCAGGGGCCAACGGAATTTGATGATACCCTTGGGATGCGTCCATCATACTCAGCAGTTCGCAACCAGCCGTGGAGTCGACTAGCTGGAAAATTCTCGGCAAGGGATAATGATCTTTCGGGCACACCAAGTTCAAGTCACGAAAGCCGATACACATGCACCATTTATTCAACGCTTTTCTCACCATTACTGTATTGGATATCCATTTGGGGAATTGGATTTCTTTGATGTGCTTGGCCTTTAGCAACTTGTCCACCTCGACCTCGATTTCCTTATCGATCTCAGCTCCATGATGTCTAAGTCGCTGTTTGACGGGTTTTTTTTTAGGGGATCGACATTGAGTTTGTGTTCCGTTACCCCCGGATCTGTAATATCCCGTCATGTTTATTAATGTAATATCATGTTTAGTTCTGAAATATATATTTTATTCAGCGTTATCATTCGGAATTATTTATTCAAGTCAAGGAACGTTCGAATTAATTTTCGAATATCACGTTCATGTTCGAAATAATTTTCCGATAATTAATTTATGTTCAATTGCTCGATATTTAATCTTACCGAGTTAAGATCAATGTTCACGCACTAATGGTGACCTAATTAGCCATTGATCATGTGTTAGCAAATACTGCACGTTGATTGCACTTCATAAGCATGGCATAGGTGCGGATGTACTAAGCATGCGCGTAACCACGCTTTGGCACGCCTTAAGCCTTGCTTAGCACTTAACCGCCGAGATTTAAGAATTCTCCACTCTTCACGTGAAGTCTCATCATAACATCAGCATAGGTGGAGGTTTTATAGCTCACTTTGGGCATGACTAAGCTAGAGGTTGGGTGACTAAGCACCAAGTGCCACTCTTGTGCACTAGACACACGACACTTGGCACACGACCATTGGCCGTGTGTTTCACCTCAAATTCTTCAAGATTTACCGTGTTATAAATCAGATGTTTGGGGTGAAAGTGGAGCTTAATTACGAAGCCAAACAATCAGCAAATAATAAGTAGGATTAAGATAGAACACTCACGCACACAGCAAGCATAGCGCACGCACGCACGGAGCCAGAAATCACGCTCGTTTTGGGGAATCCTCTGAACACTTGTGAAGGTAATTTAGTTTTCGACATCCTTTCATGCTATTAAGATCATGTCAAGTTCGAATTGCTCAGCTCATGTCCCATAAATTCATGAAAATGTTAAGATGTGTTCGGTATAGGCCGTGTATGTCGTGATCGAGTAAAGGGTTGTTTTTACCCGACAACTCCGAGTAATTCATGTTTAATTGAGCGTTATTGGTCATTTTATAATCAGCTACTTCATGTTGGCCGAAGAAATTTCAGGTTTAGTCGATGATATGGCCAAAGGACGTGAACGGCGCACGTAGCGCACATCACGGGCCATTCAATGTTTCATCGAGTGAAGTTAAGCTATGTTATGACCTCTCGAGTGCTTAGTGTTCCTTTAGCCATCATTAAGAATTTCATGTTCAGTAAAATCATGATTGCTAAGGAAAGTCGAGGTTTGGTCGAGAATTTAG